GGGTCCTCCGGAGGACCCGGCCTGTCGTTTTGGACACAGCCTTTGTCTCTCGTCCAAGAGACTTCTTCAGTCTGAGAGTTTCAGGCAAAATTCAGGCTTTTGAGTCCTGCCTCCAGGTGACTGATACTCACATCACATGGCTATCGTTGACACCTAATTAACACCTATTGTTAACGGGGTGGAGTGATACTGGCAATGGCAGCGCTGTAGGAGGGGGACAACTGAAAAAGGAGGCCTCCACCTCTGTTTAATGATGGACGGTCTTTCTTCACAAAAATGGCTTCTTTTACTCCTCTCTCAAACCAACGTTCCATTCCAACAAGCCATTTTTGTGAAGAAAGACCGTCCATCATTAAACAGAGGTGGAGGCCTCCATTTTCAGTTGTCCCCCTCCTTCAGCGCTGCCATTGGCAGTATCACTCCACCCCGTTAACAATAGGTGTTAATTAGGTGTCAACGATAGCCATGTGACGTGAGTATCAGTCACCTGGAGGCAGGACTCAAAAGCCTGAATTTTGCCTGAAACTCTCAGACTGAAGAAGTCTCTTGGAGGAGAGACAAAACTTTTCATTAAAGAAGAACCTGTCCAGAGGACCTATACATTTTTTTTCCTTTTAACTGAAGTGCATGTGTGTAAAAGAACAGCTTACCTCTCATTTACTGGTCTTGCTTTTTTGGTGTTACAGTTTTTTCATGTTTTATTTTGTGAGACACTTTTGCACATCAAAATTTAAGTTCTCAAAGCTAACATAGATGTTGATAGAAATTTAAAATTTAAAGATTTATTTATTCATGAAAACATCCATTTATAGTGTTCACCAAGTCTAAATTGCTTAAGTACTGTATGTCTTATGGAAATTAAATTATTTCCTGAATAACCAAATCATCCTGCTTTAATAATGACATTTAAAGATATTACTCAGACTATTGTGATCATTAATAATTAATTAATTAAAATTAAACCACTGAAAGGTTAAACAAATAAACTGTTTAAAAAACACACAATCCAGACACAACAAAAGCTTATTGTTAGTTTATTTTGTATAACAAATAGTAACAAAAAGACAGCAGAAAAGATCAGGCGATGCAGCCTTACAATAGATCGTACAGGGAGTAATTAACATTCATATAAGATGCACAAGTTTCTTTCATAAACATACCAAATGTGCAAACACACACACACACCCTCCTAAACACAAACACACACTTGAACAAGACGGAGCACTCAGGACTGAGGACACACCACATTGATCTGGGAAGGACGTTTCACAATGTTCAGCTCACAGTAACATGAGACACTGATAACAGTTTGTTACAGCAGAGAGAAGCATGTGATTGTCAGTGTTGAGTGGAGTTCTTCAGCTGTTTGACAGCCATGTGTCTGCTGCTCCTGATTGACCACAGCTAAACGTGTTGTTCTACCTTCTGAGGTAAAGCGGTGTAGCTGACAAAAAATTAAAAAAAGTGCCCTGCCCAGATTAAACCTGGGTATACATTGGCCCACCGGTGATAAATTATTCTTGTCCAAACTATACCCCTTTAGGCCAGAATACCTATCTAATGTGGTACAATGGTTTCATTTTAACTGTAAACTTGAATTTTCAATTTGTTTCCAAGACATGACAAATGTTTCATATTTAAAGTCAGTTAGCGTTTTCATTTGACAAAGCTAAACCTCAATAAAAGGTTGAAAAATGTGTTAATTCTATTGCATATGACTCAACTTTACTAAAGTCAAGGGGGTATAATCTGGCATGTGGGGTGTAAAGTGGACTAGTCCAGGGGTCTGCAACCTGCAGCTCTGGAGATACATGCAGCTCTTTCTGCAGCCACTCTTTGAAGCTTTGATAAAAGATAACATGAGGTGAGTTGTTTTGGTTGATTTTTAATACAGCAGAAAAGGCAAGTTTGAGCAGTTTCTTGCCAATTTGTTGGCCAATATATGTGATCTTTAGCCTACGACTAACACAAGTAATACATATTGATTAGACCATGCAAGTAGTTTGTTTGATTTGGATTTGGCATCCTTCTAGAAGGCAACCTATGACAAAATAAAGGCAACCTATGACCTATTATGGTCATATGTTTTCTATTGCTAGTGACCAATGTGGGCGCAACTCCTACACTGGTTCAAAAATCCAACTTTTAGCCTTATAATCTCTATCTTTTTATTGGAATGCCTTTAGGAGAAGTTGCTGAAAAGAAAAATGTTGAGGCAATTCGATAACAGTACAGATAAGAAAAAACTAAACATGCCTGCGTGGTTCAGTGTTTTAATTTTGATTTAAAAAAACATAATAAACTGCCTTTTTTGTTTGTTTGTTTGTTTACATGAAAAAGTCATTTTACTTTATTCTAAAATGTCAAAATTATAATAAATGGCCCACGGACCAGCAGTTGATAACCACAGTTGTAGAAGATTTTGCGGCTCTGGACACATTTTATTAGTGAGCCAAGGAGCAGACATGGTTCTTTTTATTGTAAAGGTTGCAGATTGAACTAGGCCATAGTATACCTTGGATATAACCTATAGGCCACTTTAACCCCGGGTATAGTCCCACCTGGGTGTATGGCCTTTTACACTAGGTTTCAAGGAAATACTGCAAAACTGGACATATACACATAACTTACATGTAAGATTACCGACCAGACTTTAAAAAACAGTAACTCTGAGGTGTTGGCTGCATTTTTCTGTTGTTTTATAAACTAAATAAGAAAATAATGCATGAGGTTTTATCATAGATGGATGGCATGCAAATGACATTTCTCTTATTTTCAATCCCTGTTATTGTCATTAAATGTCATAAATGGTAACAAAATATTTTCCTGGGTGATAAATACAAAAGTAAACATATTTTTATGAAGGATCTGACTCGAGCCACATAAATAGAAACATTTTTTCTTAAACGTTACATCTATCTAAAAAAAAAACAATAAGATAAGACAACCCACCCATCACATTTGCCTTATTGGTGCAGCAATTCTCTAAATAATCATTGAGTTCTCACCATTACAGCCAACATCAACGTAACAGACTGAGAGTATTGCACTTACTGCAGTAGAGGTTCTGTTCCTGGGTTACTTTGGCTTTTTGAGAATCACTTTTTAACACAAACGATCAGAAAAGGCTAATGATGCAAAATAAAGTGCTGACAAACTGGATTTTTTTTCTTCCTGAATAATGATTTTGAAAAGTGTTCTAACTCTGCACATATTGTAAATGTCTGCAAAGTAATGGCACAAAAAATATAGTTTCAAAAATACTATTACACTGTATGCTTATCATGTACAATAAATGATACACAGTTTTATATCTTAATAAATGTTAAGCATGTAGAAAGTGAGTACACTTCATGTTAGACCTCACAGCATCACGTGACAGTTTGACTAACATGGACATCCTCCCACCCAGCACCCATCTGACCCCATCAGGTAAAAAAAAAAAATCAACAGTTTTGCAATTTAGCAAATTCATTTCCCTGTCAGAAGAAAAAAAAACAGACTCTTGAACCTGGACATGAGATCTTCAAAGAACATCTCCTTCAAGGCTAATTGCCTTTTATGGCCTGGCTTTTAAAGTTCTGCCATGTGCATGAGGCAAATAAGAATGAAAAATATAGGCTTGTAAAATAAAATGAGCACTAAATGTTCGAGATGGGACGCAGATGTTGATGAGAAAATAAAGAAAACGAGATGAAATAAACTCCAGGTGGCTGATACAATTACATTTGATACATCTCCTGCCCCTTTTTTAGTTTTTTGTTACATCAACATAGAACGTGCCAAACTCAAGGCCCACAAGCCAAATGTGGCCCACCACGGCATTTTATGTGGCCCACAAAAGCTTCAAATATCTATTAATGTGTTAAAATGAAGGTATACTTCTACAAAGCCAGCACTGGCCATAAACCACATCTTCCATAACGCATGTTGATTATTTTTACACACAAACTGACAGCATCCCACCGCTGGAGGTGCACAGGGTTCAAAAGTTGCTGGCAGCCAGCAAAATTTGTCTTGTAAATTTCCATTTTGCTGCTTTTTCAGTGGCACAGTTGTACTGGGAAGTGGGAATTTCCCACTTACAGGTTGTAAATCTTTAACTGGAGCACCCCCTCTAGTGGGAATTCCCTGTCGTAATTCAAGATAGTAGCTACTTACACAGTGAGTCAGGCTCTCTGGTTTTTATATTTAAGAGTATTTCTGTATCCTTTATTTCACATTTAGTCAGTCGTACACATAGTAATTTTACTGTTCATAAAATGACATGATAAAACGTTGTCTCTATGCAGGAAATACCACATAGAGCTCAGTTATTGTTTGTTGGTGCTCAGCCATTGCAATGAGATGAGGAACATGATGTTTTGTGTTTAGTTGAAGTTAACACAAAATATCAAAGTTCGTTAACATGGCCCTGGAGGGCCACCATAATGCTCTTGGTAAAAAAGTGAGTTTGACATCCCTGATCCAGAAGATTATCTTGACTCTTCAGATACCCTATCTTTACATATAAGTGACTGACTAATAGCATTTACTGTCTTCAACTATCAAACCTGCAGCAGGGATGGAAGCATCATATTTATTAGATTATCATATATTAGTTAAAATGCTGATTAGTACGAGGATAATGGATCAGATGTAAAGAGATTTGCTCCTCCATGTGATGAACACAATATTGATTGGTTTCCAGTTTTCTTCAAACAGCAAAACAACATTGTGCCTTACTGTGGATAATTTCCATACTGACCCTGAAATGCAAAAAAAGATAACCTCAAAGACAGTGTATTTTATTGGTTGCTGTTTGTTAAAATCACAGATTAGCTCTGTGAAGTACGGTTCTCTAGATATCCTACTTTTAGTAGCTATAGCTCTTTGAACAACCTCAGTTTGAAAAACAATTTAGATGGAATTGATAAGTTAGCAGCTAAGCTTAAACTATTGCTTAAAACATTTTTGAGACGTTCCAAAAAAAGCAGCAATCTACTTTGGTCTTGGCCCCGCTCCGACTAGCCATTAGCTCATCAGTCTGTTGAGAATTAAACATTTTTTTCTCCAGATTGTTGTTGTTTAATGAGCTAAAACAATCCTGTTATAGATTTTTACTCTGTTAGGACAAATGCAGAATAAATTATCATATTAAGTTGAGCCATTTAACTTTTATAAAAAAAGCTTTCTTAAAATATAAAAAAAAGGATATAAACCAAAGGTACACACTTGAAATACTGTATATACCAATATTTTTGATTGAGCAATTATCTATTTGAAATGAAAGGAAAAAAAAGCTCCTACCACAGTTCAGCAGCTTATAGGTATTTTTGTTTGTTTGTTTCAAGTTTTTAAGTCATGTACCTGTTCAAAGGCATAGGACCTCTGACTCTGGACTCCAGAGCCTCCTTGGGATGAGCGATATGATCCGTACTGCTGGTTTTGACCCTGCTGATACTGAGAAAACTGGGAAAGTCCCCCTTGGCCAGGACCTGAAATAAGAGGATGTCTTCATGTGATATACAGTATTTATATATATATATGCATGCATATGTGTGTGTGTGTGTGTGTGTGTGTGTGTGTGTGTGTGTGTGTGTGTGTGTGTGTGTGTGTGTGTGTGGAGAGAAGTCTCATGATATGTCACCAGGTGAGTTCCTCTCACCGTATCCCTGAGGCTGCCCGCTGTAGCCTTGCTGAGAGGAATACTGCTGCTGGCTGAAGGGCTGCTGCTGACCAGAGCTCTGTTGGTACGAGGCCTGCTGCTGGCTGTACTGAGAGTTACCTGTCAGGTATAGGTGCCAGGTATTGGTTGTGAATCTTAACCACATATTGACATATTGAATGAAATAAGCTGCACACATGTATTCAAAAATGAACAGGAATCTTTACCTCCTTCATAGTAATGCTGAGGAGACTGTTCAACACTAGCTTGACTGAAATTTCAAGATCCTGAGGACAAACCCCCTCCTTCTTCTTAGCAATCTGAGGGCTATTAGTGGCCTTTTGTTAGACAAATTCCTGCAGGTAATCCAGACACACCCACCACGCCCACCACGCCTCATGATATTGTCACATTGTTTCTCAAGGGTTAGGGTTAGGGTTAGGGTTAGGGTTAGGGT